AGGCATAAGCTGTATGGGGGAGTGGGATGGAAAGGACCCAAACTAGATTTGCCTCAAGCTAGTGTGGCAGCTCGCATAGACAGAGATGAATTTTGAACTAAAGAAAGCCAAAGTGATTTTGTTTAACCAACAGTTTTTCTCACTTTTAAATAAGCTGGCCTATAATATCACAATTTGTTTTGGTTTTCCTGAATGAAAATTCTGAACTTTTAACTGCCAACCAGGAAATTTTATGGAGGGTATTTCCAGGTTAAAAAAGCCCCAGATCTGTTTCTAACACTCTTTAACTGCTATGCATTCAGGCCTAAGAAAAAATTAATATTATAATTTTATAGTCCGCATCATTATCCTGCTTCCTTCTGATCTTAGCACTATTTTTGCTAATCAGCTGGCTTAAAAATTGTTGAACAATTAGCCATACATATCTCAGTTAAATGTGAGTATTGTATGCAATTGAGAGGGATATTTGGTAATGTATTGTATGTGAGATAAGGTTGGGATGATGCATCATCGGAAGAGTTATAATATTATTTACTCGGATTCCTTGCATATCCCAGACTTTTGGCATTGTGAGGATTATTATAAAGCACAAAAATTGGAGATTGTCTACAAGCTTTGTAATAACAAAGCATTGAGGGAGGAAAATCCCTTACATTGCTTATTACAAGATCCATTTGGATGGATGGTGGCTTTTTTTACTGAGAACCTATTTCCTTTGATGTTTATTTAGCACCGTTTTGTTTAACTAGATAACATCTTCAATGCATGTTGTATATTGCTTTATTTAATAGGATATCTCTTCTGCGTATTGTCTTTTAAATTAAAAAGCACTTAGATTGTCCAATTTGGAGGAGGCTATAAAATGGAGACAGGTTGGATTTCTTTCTGAGGTTACTGGAATTTCAGCAAGGAATTGATACATCTAAGTTCAAGTTTGCTTGTATCGAGTTAGTGAAGAGAAGGGACATCTTCTGATTTTCTTCCTTTTGTATTTTTATGCACTTAGGCAGCCAAATATAAGTGCCTATGAAATGCAGCCATGCTCTGCACGATAGATGAGAAGCTGTTCTCTGTGAGTATATCATAGTTGAGTCAGCTGGGCCCCCTGCTGCGCTCTGCTTTTGTTGTTTTTGAAAAGGTCTACCTCCTAAAGTACCTAGTTCTGTTAAATATTAGTAAGCCAGTACAGTGAATTTGGATTACTAAAGTTGACTGAAGATGTATTGTCTGCCTTGTGTGTTGCGTCTGGTAAATAGCTGGTTGCTGGGGTAACCACCTCAAAAGGTAGAGGGTCCTTGGTACCACATAAATTCTTTAAACAAAGGGTGATCATAGCAAATTCTAACATTAGTCTTCAAAGAAGGATAAAAGAGAAGGAAGAGATTCAGACAGCTTTTTCCTTTTGTAAACTCCCTGCTTTATAGGGGGAAAAAATAGCTAGAAATAGTCCGTCTCATACGAAATGAAAAGGTTGTGGATTAAGGCACTGCATTAGTGAAACAGCTGTATGAATGTGAAACAGAAAGTTCTCCAGCTTCAGCCATTATGGGTTTGTTTGGTTAGGTCTAATTTTGGAAGTCATTATAGCAAAGGTAAATGACTTGCACAGGAGACTACTGTAAACAAAAGACTGGATACATTTACTTTGGCAGGAGCCTTGAGAAGACTCGGTCCTTTCACTGCCTCTTTTATGCAGCCTTCTGTAATACTCTCACTGCCCGCCGCTCTATGCAGGCGGCTCTCATTTCCCTTCCTCCCTCTCTGACAGCTTCTTTCCCCTGACAGGTAGGATGTAAGGGTGGCAGCACCTGCCGTTGAATTGCCTGTGTGTAGCTGTAGAATTCCTTTATTTTTATAGTAGCTGTCTCTTGACTTCCAAGGCCACTGTGTTTTGCTCAAGTAAGAATCTGTTCACTGTCTTGTAGTCTAGTACCACAGTATAATCTGTTTCAAATGCTTTACTTTCTAATTGTGGCTCCTCTTTGGTTGCTTTTTGTGGTTTTTATTTTGTCGTTTAATAGCTTTATACCTACAGATCCTAAGCATGCCGATGCTTAGCTGAGTATTCTAGTTTTTCAGTGAAGAGTAAAGCATGAAAATTACAATTTCCTTTCCAGGTCTCTACCCATGCGGTTCAGTCAAGGCTCTGGCCATTCCACACCTACTTACTCACACTTGTGTGGGTGGGGAGGCAACTTTCATGGTGACAGAAAGAGTGCCCATGCAGAGTCTGCTTCTTCCATTTTACATAGCTCCTTGTGAACATATCATATGGGGGTAGCAGAGCTTTCATTGATTTCTAAAGCTGGGAGGATGAAGTAGAGGGGCAGAGTCAGTATCCTCTCCTTACTCGGCTCGCTTGCTGGCACCTCTTTTCTGCTCTCCCTGACTGCTGGGTGACCTAGGAGACTCCCCTTCGCAATCCCTGTCATGGGTAAATTCTGACTGCTGTTGCTTCTCAGATTGTCGGGAAGTGCTTTCAGTGAAGGAGTAGCTATTTACCTTGACTCCTAAAACAGACGGGGCATACTCTACTGTTAATTAATATTTTTTTTTAAAAGACAACATTTTTATGCTGCATCTTCCAATCACGAGAAACCCATCCCTGCACATTCTCACACACTTTATGCCTATGGGGGATAGCAATGCTGCTTGTCATTCTGATATATAACTAGTACCAAAGGAATCTATATGGTCATTTTCTACTCCTGCCGTACAAGTGAGTATTATCTCTGTCTCTGAAATTGCTCCCTTAGTGCTCATTAACTAGAAATACAGTAATTGAGAAGCTGGTGGGAAAAGATTTTGTCTAATAGTAGCCCTGATCTCTAAAATGGAATTTAACCGCATAATAATTACACAGTAAAATGTTTGACCAGTATGACTGATATAAACAAGCCAGCAATGGAACTGAGTGCCTGGAAAGAGGTTTTATTTCAGATTAATTTCATCTCGTGCTGTATATACAAGATATTTGTATGCTTTCAGGTCAGGTGGCTGATTCTGAAGAGAGAGATGTGGTTTTAGCTGCATGAACTCTTTTGAACTTCCTTCTTCTACCTGCAAGGTCTTTGAATGTCAGAAGAAGCAGACAACTTTTGTTTTACTGGTATTATTCTCTGATGTCTAAAAAAACCAGAAAGGTAATACAGAAGTTCTCTTAAAGAGAAACATTCTGCTCTCCAACTTATTGGGAAGAAAAGATGCTAAAGATATATCTCTTGGAAAAGCTGGCACAATGTTTGGACTTTACACTAGGAATTAATAAAATACAGATTTATTCTTTTTTTTCCTGTGATGAGATAATTTAATATCATTACTTCCTTTTGTATAAGCTACTGGAGTGATTGAAATAGTGAGTTTTGGTTACTGCCCCAAATTAAACCCAGTCAAGTGCAAAAGTTTTGGTTGTACACACTTGTTTTAAATTTCCAGTATGAGATTCAGCCTAGCATTTCAGAGGCGGCAGGGTGGCTGTCAAGAGAATAGAAACTCTTGGAGAAATGAACACGGAGAAGTTGTGTGTGCCGTCTAATCACAGAGTGCTCCATACACTGCATCCATCAGGAAGCGGGCACCTTCCTTAAAGTGAAGAACCAACATAATTTACAGGGAAGCCAAAGATCTAAGTGATATGTAAAACTGAAGGCCCATTTTTCACCTGTGAATTTAATATTTCATCTGACAGTAAGGTAGTATAACTATTTCTAGCAGATTATGCTCACGAGCGTTAGTGTATTCCTGGTATGTTATGATATGCTATTCCTCTTAATTGATCTCTGTTGTGAAGGATGCTTTACTTCCTTTTTACACATCAGAACATGCTTTAGGTGTAAGATTCTTGATAGACTTGACTGTGAAAATAGGCTTGGTTTATTTTAAAAAGGAGTTTTGACAACTCTGCCCAGAAGATTTGTTGAACTGAGTAAATACTACAGATACGTACTATTAGATGAGCACAAAGTCTCTGACTTAAAGCCATGGTATCGGCAGGGAGGTATATGGGAGCTCCCGCTGTGCCTTTCACTGCCTCTCACACACCAAATCTTCAGATAAATAGAGAAGTGTGTGTGGTTCCAGGAGCTGTCAGTCTCATTGCTTCGGCTGCAGTTATACTCAGCTGTCGGGGGGGATTGTCCTTAAATTCTGAAAGCTTAATGAATGTAGATTTGTTCTTCTAACCTCTGAGCAATCTCTATCACCATGATTGAATTATTGAAACAATCTCTTTTCAGAAGACAAAACCTAATGTGCGTTATGATAGTGGAGGCGAATGCAGACGGGACCTGCCACCAGGCTCCCCAGTGAGAGGACTGAGAGGGAAGGGTTGTGTTGCTTCTGTTCAGGGTGACCACAGTGTTCTTCATACTTCATAAGGCCAGTGAAAACTCCAAAAGGGATTATTTAAGTCTGCGAGGAAATACAGCTGCAATAGGAGGAATTTAATGCTTAAGCCAGTTTCTTTTTCAGAGTTTCTGTTGCTATAGCCACCTTACTCCTAGTAGAAACTGCTGGAAAGGATGGAAATGGAAAAAAAATTGGCCCCTGCCTTGTGTAACAGGTGCAGTTTTCAGTTGTGAGCATGGGCTGAGCTGAATCTCGCTCGCAGGCACAGAGCATGGCTGCAGGCAGCCTAGGCAGTGACTGCCACAAGAACTTGGGATTTCTGCATAAGTATTTCCTGTCTCTTGGAAAGATGCCAAGCAGAATTTAATTGCTTGTGGTGAAATCTTTCTCTGTGGCTAGATAGGACACTGAATACTTTTGAACTTTTAAATTGCTATGGGGACAGCCTGATCTACCATGGTTGTATTTAATACACAGACAGATAATGAAAGATACTTCTTAATCAGATAGAGTTCTTTGATGCACTTTTTTGTTTTATATATACCACACTAACTTGAGGGAGAGGAAGGGAGTTCTTGTAATAACGTACACATTTGTTTTTCTGTTTAGTAAATTGACAGGTGTTTGGTTTTTCTTCTGTCTGCCCAGGAAACCACATCTTGTCTCCTGGAGAGTCTGTTGGAAAAGGTCTAACGCCAGAAGCTGCAAAAGATCTTGGTCTCCCTGAAGGGACTGCAGTAGCAGCATCTCTCATTGATGCACATGCGGGAGGACTAGGTACTCAGTCATGTATTTAATATTCTTGGAAACAGGAATGTATTGAATTAATTTCAGAAAGCCATTTTTCTCACAGTCCTTTTTGTATCCAGCAATTTGCTCTGATGCTATTCTTAGGAAATCGCATAACTAAAATAAAAATAAAAAATCACAATAACTGCTAATATTGAATATCTGTTTATAGAAACAGGGTATTGCTGTTTATTTCTTTTCAGCTGGATTTCCAAATAATTTGTTAGCTTCTGCTAGCCCCATTCTGAATTCCTGAACTGAAACACCAGTGTGTTGGCATGCCAACCTGCTGAAAGTTTGCATCTTCTGTTGCTCAAAACTTTGGGGATAGGCAAGAAAAATAAAAAACATTCAAAGGGAGAAATCTCATGTCTGAGGCTTGTTCATAATTAGTCTTCCTTCTTAGTTTTAGAAGCGATTCATGCTTTGCTTAAATAATGCAATAGAGACTTTTCACAGACATTTATGCTAGCACAATGTGGGATATATACCAAAAAAATGCTGCTTTTGGTCTAGGAGGTTAGAATATGTAAATACGGTGTATCTAAACTAGCAAATAAGAGTAGAGGGCGAACTGGCCACTGCACAGCATTCCCCTTCTGCGCCTTTGAACTTTTTATCCATATCCACTGGGGTGGGAGGCCTGATGCTTCGATTCTTTTCTTTTCCAGCACAATATTCCGATGTGCCCAGTTTCAGCCGTGTTGAAATATATTTGGTGAGGTTCAACAGCTTCTTTTTCTTACTATGCTGTTTGGCCTTATCTAAATACAGTCCTTAGCGAAGTGATTCAATGAAAAAAAAAAAATGGAGGGTTTTTTACTTTGATAGTTTAGAAAGAAGTCTTACCTCAGAAAGTTTCAGTGTTACTGAAACAGTACTGTTCAATGGAAGTCTGTTGCTCATCAGAGGATTTTTCTCTAGATGTAAATGAAATATGATTAGCTGCTAAAGTACCAGTTTTGTTTGTGGTGCTTTAAATCTCATTTGTTTTTCTAGAAGGTGTGGCCTGGAACTTTTAAAATGTTTAAATCCATTTACTTTGTTTCTGTTAACTGTTTCTGATGAGGTTAAGTAATCATGTAGATTGCTTTTCTTATTACCTCAGAAGGATTAGATACAGATCTAGCTGCAGAAAGGAAGACTGAGTTTTAGTGTCCTAGTTGTAGATGTGTTGTGTCCCTACTATTGTGACTTACTTAAAAATCTATTTGTGTCAATTAGTATCCTAATTGTATAAAAATGTGTTTAAAACTATGTGCCCTGGCAGTTTTGTGTTCTTGAAGAGGATGTAATAATAAGCTGACCTGAAATAATGAACTTGCTGAAAAAATGGATTGTCACAGAGTATGTGAAAATGACAGTGGAGAGTCCTCATTTAATTGGTATCATTATGTGAGCACTGGATTCAGAGCACAAAAAGTTTGCCCAGTAAATTTCATGTACTGAAATCAATGAATTGAATTGAAAGACTAGAGAGCAACCGTCTGTTCGTTTGCTATAGACTTCTGTAAAGAAACTGTAACATTAGAAATATGTAGCTACTGGCATCCTGCAGAGAAAGACTTGAGTGGATACAGACAGTCTGCTTATGCTAGTCCTGTTTATCAGAATATGTTTTCCCAGATGGCACCACAAACACTAGTAGACTACTGAAATCATTGCCAGGAGAAAAAAATGTATAGGTTGTTATTAGAAAGGGAGAGATGCATTACAAAGGGAAGTGAGTAAAGCAATAGGAGAACCTGCATGCTAATCCCATGATAACTGAGTAGAGTCTGGGAAAAGAGGAGGATTTAAGATGGAACTCATCCTTCTTGAATCTGGGAAGGGTAATAAATAGGTGGGGAAACTCCTAGAAAAGACAGTGAAAATGAAAAGATTTGGATAGCAAAAGGGACAGCAGGAGCAAAAGGAGAACTGGAGAGTGCAAATGTATGTAAAGAGAATGAATAGTGTGGCTACATCTCAAATACTGAATAGCTGTCCTTCATAGCTGTTAATAACAAGAAGCTTAATCTTTTTCATGTCTAGTTTAACCTACATTGTGTAGAATACAGAGCTGAAAATCTTGAAGGAAAAACAGAAAAGCAAAAGGAGAACACAGATAATAGAATTGGGAAGTGAAACAGTGTTCTGATTAAAAGATATTAAGGATGGCAATGCACTAAAGTATATTAATCTTTTAATAATGATAATTTTTAATAATGATAAAAAGGACACAGAAGAAAAGAAAATAGAGAAGACATTTGAAACAGTGAATTTAAATGTGGAAATATTGGAAATAAATAACTCTCGTAGTTGATGTAAAACTTTTGTTTTGAAAAGGTACTGATGTATGTTTTAGTGCTTACTCTTCTGTGATCTGTATTGAAATATTGAGGTTTACAATTTGTTTGAAGGGTATGACGTGTATATTACTAAGCATTAGATTAGACAACAACATCCAGTGGGTGTCATTGTTCTTATTCTTGAACACATTCTGCTGGTTATTTTAAAAATAATCTGTAACAGCAGAGTAATGAAAAGGGCTCTTTCTTATCATGCAGGCTAAACCAAAATTGATGTCCTGTTTTCAGTGTTAATAACTTTTGATGCACTGTTCAGATCTGCTTTTGGCTGGACAGAAAGTGTGTTTTTGGTGGGCAGATTCCTGAAGTTTATGAAGGCTTCAAAGTTTTGAGTAAAATAAGGTAAAGATAAAGAATTATCTAATATGTATGTCTGTGGAGGTCATCTATGACTCCTAAATCAGTCCATCTGATACCTATTATGGGAAAGTAAAAACCCAAAAGCTGAGTAGTTATGTCTTACATTTTGACCTGCTGTACCAATTTGAAAGGGCCTACAGATAAAAATGTGAGTATGGGAGGCCAGTCTTTTGGGACTGGCCTTGTAAAAATAACGTTTACACTGCACCTTTTCAAAAGACATCAGCCTTGTTTCAGCAGAAGTAGATAATCTATTGTACAGTATCTAAAATACTTTGTCAGTGTGGAAGAGATCCCAAAGTACACATGCTAAGCATTGCCTGCTTTTCTAAAATCTCTCCTACAGTTTGTGTGGTATACAGGCTTCTTGATCTCCGTCTCTCTTGAGAATCTTGAAAAGATTTTGAGTCTGCCTCAGAGTATGAAAAATTCCAACCAAGTTAAAGGTGAAAGTGACTTAAAACAGCAATTATATTATTTTTAGCAAGTAAAATATCTAAGCTTTCATTGTTATGAGGATGTTCCAGACTTATTTGCTGTCTGACTTCAATTAATCACAAATAGGAAGACTCTAGCAACTCTAAACACTAGTAAAGCCACTGACAAAATCCCACTGATTTCAAAAAGGCCCGGAGTGCATATTTTGAGAACACATTTTCTTAGTGATTAAAAAATATCTAAACATGAGGGTCTTCAATTTTGTATTGTTTATGAAAATACATTTGCACCATATGCTGACAATTCAGTTTAATAGGTTTGTTCCCTCTGAAGCATGAACAATATTTTTAACTCCTTTAAGAAATTCTAATAGTGTTACCCGGTACAGGAACTTGCCTTTTAGACAACCCTATCCAAAATTCTTAATATGAACCCATGCATGTCTGTGTTTGAGCACTGAAAAATAAAGCGTAAGAGGTAGAAGCCATACTTTTAGCTTTCTGTTGTTCCTTACAAATAAACTCTGTGTATGACAGCTATGCTACTACATAGTTACAAGCCAGCTATGATAAAGGGACATAAAGACAGATTTTTGAAGACTGTAAAATTTCAGCCCTTAATTTTCTGATTATTTAGATAACTTCCAAGCATGATAATACCACGATAACCATGGCAGTCACGATAACCACAAACCTCAACAGACCGATTTGATAACAGAATCTTGCAATGGTGACCTAAACAAGAAGGTGTTAATGAAACGTGGTGTACTAACCAGCAGTAACACTTGACAGCTTTCACAATACCCAGCAAATGCTTTCATGATCCTTCTACAGTGAGGGGAAAGATTATTTTATTTTTTTTTTAGCAGGACTGGCAAACTGGTCGCCAGACTGCACATTGCAGATGCAGATGCAATGCATGATTTGGTGACCAGTTTGCCGGTTGGAAAGTAATGCCCAAGAAAAAAAGAGACAAGCAAAAGAATATTACTTGTTGGGCTGCTGCATTTTGCTGGGTGCAGCACAATGTGATGGAAGAATGCAGCCTAGGAGAGGAGGAGGAGAAGGCAGGATTTCCACTTTAGCCTCCCCTTAAGTGAATTAAGGAGGATGTGATGCATGCTGGAGCTTGGTTGTAGGTCTGCCCCATTCTGTAAGCAAGCTTCTGGCTCCTCTCTGGCATCTCCTGGGTATATGTTTCTGCTGCAGGCTGAGTGCTTGCTGAGTTTGTCCTCCGTCCTGTCCTGTCCTGCACGCAGAAGCTCCTCAGCAGCAAGCACAGTTCCTCTAAGGGAAGGAGTAATCTCCTTTTAGATGGTTCTGTCTGACATGGACAGAACAGCAGCAGCAGTCAAGACAACAAAACTGGCAGCCTTCCAGTCTCCTGCCAAGTTACCCCTTTCTCCAACTCATCCGCTGACAAAACACATCATACAGTATATGCATGATAAACTGTGAACAAATAAACATATCTGCAGTCTACTGTACTGCCTTTCACAACAGGGCAGTGTTTTATTCTGCATGTTGGTGTACTACCTAAGAGAATAAAGGTCAGGTTATAGTCAAAATAACATTTAAAAATGATGACGATAAACATGATCATCTTCTGTCCTCATGTATCTGGATTAAAAATACATTTTAATCTGATTTGGTGTAATAACTTTGTTTATTGACTAAGTGGACTTTTTTGATCTGTGGCAGTGGTGTGAGATACTCGGCAATTATTTGTGTGTGGAAAAGCTCTGTTTTGTGAGGGTTGGCTTGCTCTTCTTTAAAATAGAATTTTAATTTTCTTTTAATAGGAGTAATTGGAGCAGATGTGAAAGGATATAACCTGCCATGTGAGAACCAGCCAATTACATCCCGAGTTGCTGTGATCTGTGGAACATCTTCATGCCACATGGGGGTAGGTTGTATGTGTAGTCCTAATTTGTGCAGAATATACTAACTAGTATTTTTGAAGGTAAAAATTACCTTTGTCCTTCTCACCCTTTCCCTTTTCCTTGAATTTTTTCTGGTAACTCTATCTTTACCTTTGGATATTAATTATATATTACCGTGCATTTGCTATTAAGCAAGAACTTTAATAGTAGTAGAAATCAATACTGAAAAATGACATGGAAAGTAAAAACCACGATGCTAGAGTGGCTTAAAGAGCAGCCTGAAATCTGAGCCAAAGATTGTGAGCTTGAGTTATACACGACAAGCCTGTCACTAATGTGTTACAGAATAGTGTCTTTGGAGAAGGAGTGCCTGTCTTCAGTCACAGCCCTTCTCCCCTACTTCTTCACTTAATCAATATAAACCCTTCTACCTCTGAAAGTTGCCATGATATATAGAATTATGATATGTATCATGACTGAAAAGAAAGAAAAACCCCAATAAGCAATTTTCGCTTTGCTAATTTTTCTCAGTGAATTAATACAAAAGCTTTTTCTGAGATTGCAATTAAAATTTAGTGTCTGCTTTTGAAATTTATACCTTTTTAAAATGTATGAGTCTGAAAGCATTCCATTTAGATAAGTACCCCTTTCTGCCACATTTTTTATTTAAAACTCATTTTGGTCTTAAATTTAGACTGATTATAACTTGGGTTTTTCCAAAATGAGCAAATGGCAATGGGAGTGCTAGAGGTGTTAGAGAGCACTAACATGCTTCATGGAGAGAGCTCCAGTAGACCAAAAAAAAAAAAAAAGCCGATAATAAAATGTCAGGCTTAACAGTAAGTTAAGTTGTCTTCGTAGTAACAGTGTGAATACATAGTGATCTTGAGCATGGATAAAAGGTGATCTTGTCACATGGATTGCAGTTCAGCAAAGCATTTTAGCACAGCTGAATTTAAAGATATGAATAATCCCAGTGTTGTGAAGCAGAGCATTTAACAAAAGCTTGAATCCTGCAGACCAATTGGAATATATTTGGATTCCTTCCGAAACAAGAGTTTCAAACCTCAAACTCCACCACTCTTAGCTTTTTCTGTCTTTGAAAAATTACACTGGTATCTCTTTGTCTATCATGGGGCAGGTAGGGCACTCTGCAGATACCAGCTCTGGGGGAAGAAGCCACCCTTTGGGCCTGCCCCTACTTTTATTATTTCCAGGTTTTTTGGTGGAGGTTTCTGCCCTTTCAGAAGAAGCAGTATATGTGAACTCTTCCTAACCTCTTTCATTTAGCTGAGTTAGTTTGAAATGTTAAAATGAGTTGGGTTTAATAGAGACATAATCCTGGGCTGAAATCAGCTGAGGAGCTTGTTGTCAGTTTCCCCAGAAGGTCTAAGGGCAGTGTTAAGCACCTGGAAATGGGCTAGCTGGCTCTTAACTTATTCCTTTAGTATAAGTAGCCTTGGAGGAGGACATGTGTGTGGTTATTTATTAATTTTTGATGTACGTATGTTGGTAAGTTCTAACGTAGACCCAGTTCACAACTATAGTTTGTTTTGCTTCCTAAACTAGAGCACGGGCTGTCAGTATAAACACTTTCAAGGCACTTTTTGTGTGCGTACTCCATGACCAGGAGAGATGTAGCTCCATTAAATATGCTATTGTAACAAAAGTGACATGATAAAGTCCATGTTGATGTTCATCAGTTAATTTGTTCTGTCATTAAAGCAACTCCAAAGCTGTACACAGACTGCACACCATAGACAAGGTAGAACCTTTTAAGGCCCTTAATCACACGAACGCAAACTCGGGAATAGATGCTTGTGCAGTTTTTGGCTAGTTTTAAGTAGATTTTTATTTAAATAAAATACAACTACTCAGCATTTTATAGTAATTTCCTTAATCACCTTCCTTCAGTCATCTGCTCAGAGATACAACAATCTCTAGCCAGCAGACAATAAGCAAATTCTAAAACTTCTCTGGATTTAATCTGTGAAAGGACTTTGGTTTACTGTTCTTTTATCTATTACCTGCATAGACTGCATGGAGTGAATGTAGAGCACACAGAGCAGTTGTATTTGTGTTTTAATGAGACCTATACGCAGCTGCATTTGGCTGAAATTAGCTGTTCCTTTTTTTAATTAGGGCTATAAAATGAAAGTATATTATACTTGTGTTTTGATAGAAATATATATTTTCTCTCTCTGTGTGCACCAAGGGACCCTCAGGGCTACAGAGATTAATCATCGAGTTTAATTTAATGCAGTGGGAGAGAGACCTGTGTGGTCAGGCGGGCATTAAAAAGTGCCTTTGATCTGCCTCAGGTGCACCGAGCCCCAGTGAGCCAGCAACAATAATACCTTTGTGAGATGATCAGAGACTAGAGAGGGAGAAAATGGCCTGTGTGGAAACTCAAGGCCGTCCTTTGTTGTGGTTCTGGCAAACGAAAGAGCCAACTGTCAGGAGAAATTCAGAAAACAGAAAGCAAGGTGAAAGTACGGTTGGATTTCGTTCAAGGGGTCGTAACAGGAAACTGTTCAAAATCATCTGCTATACCTTTCTCCCCCCACCCCCTCCCCTTCCTCCTTTTTTGGTGAGGGCAAGGGTACTACTGTTGGTGTATGTGTGTTGGTACGGTATTTCCATTCTCCAGACCAAATACTCTGTGAGTCACAGAAGCAGGTACTGCTTGAACACAGCATTTACTTTAAACTTTAAGAGAAACTACTCCATGACCCAGTTTTCATTACCTCAAGGACTCTAGAGATCTTGAACAAAAGACTTTACTAATCATGCCTTTGATATTTTAGAAAGTACAAATGTGGAACCTAATTTTACTCATGGCTATAATAGTTTAATTTGTGGTAGAACTACCATTTTTAAGTGAGCTTTTGGAATTAACCACTGACAGTTTGGGGTAATCAGACACACACAAAGCATTTTGTGTTTCTGTTGTGATGCTTGAATAGCTCATGGAAGAAGCAAAAAACATGTAATTAGGTTACTGATCCAAGTCCAGGTCTGAGTTGGTAGTTGCTCAAAGTCACTGCCACCTCAGGGCTCATGCATTATCCATGAGGAAAAAGAAAAGAAAAGATGGTTTTCTGAATATTTTTGGACAGTTATTAATTTTACATGATTCTTTGCTGCCTCCTTTGCCCTAGCAAAAGTCATCAGCAGAATTTGCATTCGGAATGGCAAATAAACTGACCTTTTACTTGTGAAGGATTGCCCCTTAGTTTAGGGCTGGGATTCAATTGCTACAGCTTTTACCTGTCTGTGCAGCATAGATGTTCCTTTCAAGGGATGGATACTCACTGGCTGACTTTTTGGAGTGGTCTGCTGCATGTCATTGTGCTTTGTAGACAGGGTCTCTAACCTCCGGCACCCACATTTAGTTTTGGAACTTTTAGGAGACTTTCCTCGTATAGCCATGGTGACTACACAAAACGTATGAGTACTTTTTCACAGTAAAATAGCAGCAGGTTTGAGGCATTAAAATAGGAGCTTGCATGTTATTCCTAACTAGTAGTTTGCATGGGTCTAACAGACATGCCCTAACATCTGGGAATAAAGTTTCCCTAAAAGTCCATCTTCCTGCCAGTGTCATATGGGTTTTATGGGATATTTTAAAGGTTTCAAAAATCCTTTGTTTTCTTCTGAAACCTTTATGCGATCAGAGGGATTTCAGGTGCAGATACCTGCATTCTCTTGGCTCAGTCCTGAACACAAGCATGCTTGCCCTTTTGCAGGTGTGTAAAACCACCAAGAATTGAGTTAACTCTCAGGTGCCAGTTAGCAAGCAGCAAAACAGTAATACAAACAAGCAGTGACAGGGTACTTATACACAGAAATTTTCTAGTATTCCTTGAAGCAAGTGATCTAGCAGTACCGCTGCTTCTTTCTAGTAGATAAATCTTGTAGTTTCCCATACCTGATACCAGCATAGCACTCTTCTTGTGGGCACTAAATTCACACAACAAAACTTTTTTTTTCCTCAAAGTAAAATCTTTCATTAGACTGTAAGGTTTTTGTCAAAGAGACTACAGGTTTGAGTAGACTTGCGTGACACCTAACAGACTAGGACCAGGCTGGGACTGGTTTTTGGTAGCCAGAGGTTGTGAAAGGAATTTGAAGTTATTTAAAATGGTAAGCAGAAATAAATGATAGTTCTGGAGTGGGAAAATTGAGAGTGCTGAGGGTTATGGAGTCACTAGGGCATAGTGCCTCTTCCCTGAGACTGGGACTTCTATGGAGGACAAGGATGACGTGCATGCAGAGCTGCAAGATTCAGAAATATTGAAGCCCATTGGGAGAGCAGGGATCTTCTTTTGCAACACCCCATCTTCTCTTTTGTTGTCTGCAGTATGAGGTCCTTGCTAATCTTGTATGTCTGCAGGATATGTGCTATGTATGCACGTTGAATAAAATAGCCCTGTTCATAATGTGTATAAACTCTCATTTCGGCCTATTTTGTGTTGAATTAGGCTCACCTAGAGATCAGTGTTCAGCTTTGCACTTGTCCCAGAACAGTTGTTCCATTGTGAAAATATTTGTCATTCTTGCTCTAACACCTTTTTGGATTCACAGCTGAAAGAAGTAGCCAGGGCAGCGTCTAATGGGAACATTGTCTGGCCTGATTTCAGCTTACTGAGGCAGGGGGGTCAGAATTTGCTGGCATTTTAAGTCCCAAATATACAAGGTTTGTGTTCCTTCCTCTCCAGAGTCTCTGATATTTTTTTTTCTGTCTTTGGTGATGTGGTCTTTCTGCTTCTTTGGGCATTCCTTCTTCTTTATCAGCTCTCTGTACTCAAAACTTCTTTTTTGGAATTGCCAGGGAATCTTTTCAGGTTTAGATGGAGTCTCTTCCTTTGCATCTGTTTTTGTTACTTCCATGACTCTTGTCATTGGGAACTGACTCACCTGGCTCAGTGCGCAATTCTTTTTTCCTCGGGTGATAATGTGTATGTGGTTTGAAGCTTATAATTTACTAATTTTTTTAATTGGAGAGGCACAAGTAATTTAT